CTCTCTCTCTCTCTCTCTCTCTCTCTCTCTCTCTCTCTCTCTCTCTCTCTCTCTGTGTCTCTCTCTGTAGAGCACTGATCATGCACGTAGAGCACGTAGAGCACCGAAATACAAAAGCACGGATCCACAATGTAGAGCACTCATCATGCACGTAGAGCACCAAAATAGAAAAGCACGGATCCACGATGTAGAGCAGTGATCATGCACGTCGAGCAGCAAAATACAAAAGCACGGATCCACGATGTAGAGCACTGATCATGCACGTAGAGCACGTAGAGCACAAAAATGCAAAAGCACAGATCCACGATGTAGACCACTGATCATGCACGTAGAGCACGTACAGCACCAAAATACAAAAGCACAGATCCACGATGCAGACCACTGATCATGCCCGTAGACCATGTAGAGCTTTAAAATACAAAAGCACAGATCCACGATGTAGAGCACTGATCATGCACGTAGAGCACGTAGAGCACCAAAATACAAAAGCATGGATCCACGATATAGAGCACTGAGCATGCACGTAGAGCACGCAGATCACCCAAATACAAAAGCATGGATCCACGATGTAGAGCACTGATCACGCACGTAGAGCACACACGCGTGTGCCGCACTTTGCCCCGCTTCACTTTTTCGATGTGCGCCTACCTCTTCGCCCCGCTCCTCCGTACGTTCGCGATAGCCACGCATCGACACGCATCCATTGTGTCCCACGTCCCGCCCACGGAGATCGTCCACACCCGCGTCCCGTTTGCCCCCACCTTCTACGACGGCACCCCGTCGGCCTTGGATTCCCCCACAGCGGTTGGTCCCCCCCCTCCCTACCCGATACTTCACTCCGCGCGTAGGCCTGCCCCCTGCCCCCATCGGCCTTGGATTCCTGCATGGCGGTTGGTCTTGCTCCGCGCGTCAACGTGGCCCCCGCCCCCCTTCCTCGCAACGCTGAGCGCATTGGCCTCGCCTCCCTCCCAACCATCGCCTATGCGCCTGCCGCACTTTGGCCCGCTTCACTTTTTCGATGTGCGCCTATGCCCAGCCCCCCTCCCAACCGTCCGTCCGCTTTGAATTTCGTGGGCCTCCGCCTCGCCCCCCCGCCCCTTCGCCTTGGCCTCGCCCCCACACTGGTCCCACTGCCCGGTTCCCGACTCGCCCTCATTCCGCCACAGGTTCCACGATTTTCGTCGGGCCCGCGACCAGGCATGTCGCCGGGCCCTTTGTTTGCTTTAGTAGTATAGAGAAGAGAAGAGATAGAGAAGAGAAATGCAAGGTTAGCCACGTTTGTGTGGCTCAGCACCAAGTGCCCACACACCCGTCTGCCGCCAAAGCGGCACACTTCCACATATACATATGTATACATATATATTTCAAACCATAAGGGGATGGAGGGCAAAAGACAACTTACCTAAGACAGAAGACTACACCACCAAGAAGGCACCGACCTGACCCCCTCAAAGGTTCGAAAAAACTTGAAGAGCCTTCCACATCGGTCCACAAAACTAAAAACTCATTTATCAAAAACAAACAAATATAACGGCATTGCCATTCCCAACATTCATCTCCAACTACACACTCGCGTCACTGCCAAAGAGGAGGACGACGATAAGAGACAACTTACCTAAGACAGAAGACTCCTCCAGCAAGAATGCACCGACCCTCTGCTAAGGGTCCGAAAAAACTGGGAAAGCCTTCCACGCCGACCCACAAAACATACATTTCCCCCAAAGAGAACTCGTGGCCACCCTTAAACATTCAAACAGCCCATGCTCTAAAGCAGGGCAAAGAAGTAGGCCGTGTATAATCAACAAAACCAACAGGACATATCCAACCACAAAAAGAGAGAATAGCTCGCTAGTACGAGCCCGATCCTAGCCGCTCAAATCTGCCAAGGCAGAGAGCTAGCAAGACCGGAATGTGTGTTGTTTTAGTGTGTGTGTGTGTGAGTGTGAGTGTAAACTGCGCGCGCGCGCGCACACACACACACACACACACACACACACACACACACACACACACACACACACACACACACACACACACACAAAACGAATTCAGATCGAATCTATCGAATCCATTCGATCAATCCGATCCTTTTTTTTTTTTTTTTTTGCATGTGTGTTTTTTTTTTCCTTTCTGGTTTCCTTATTTCTCCCCTTAAAAACAGAGATCGGGGGGTACCCCCACCCCTTCCCGACCCCCCACAACCCCCACTTGCCGAATCAACCCACATCCCACCTCTCCCCCCACAACGTTTCTACCTGCGCAAACCTGTTCATGTTGTAAACGCGCGTTCAATGCGTTCAGTTTCTGAACGCTGAACATGTGGTTACACAGTATCTTCCCATGTTCTCATTGTCTTTGGTGCCTGTGAAGAGCCATGAAGAGAGCCCCTGGCCCCGCCACTGGCCAAGAAACGACAAAAAAAAAGAAAAGACTTTTGCTCACCACAAACGTGCAAGGAAGAGCGAAGCTTCTGCTGGAATATGGAAAGATACACCACCATATTTCGTGCATGTGACTTCCAGCACTGTGCATTGCTGCTATGTATTTGTATCCGAACATGCGCAAAAGCCAGCCACACGAGTAGCAGTTTCTGCCAGGCCTGTCCCCCCCTGTCCGGAGTGTTTTCCCAACACTGTAAGTCGGGCCTCGTGGGGGCGTCACGTGAGACCCGGCTTACACTTTAGTAAGAGTATACGGGGGGGGGGGGGGAATGTATACCTTTCCCTCTGTATTGCATCCAGGCGGCGGGACTTGATACGGGATCCCAGAGAATAGGAATGGCTGAGCCAAAGAATGCAAAGGACAGATGTGCCGCTCCAGAACCTTACTACCAAGAATATCTATAACTCCTTACTGGAGCCGGTGAAAATCTGTGAGGAATTGAGGACTAGATGGGCCAAGAGGAATTGTTTCCCTGATGTATATTTTGGTAGATGGGCGCAACGAAGATGGAGCGAGCAATGTGCACTTCTGGCGGTCCTGCCAGATCAGAAACAGGCAGGCCTCCTATGCCAGCTGTATCATCTAGCGAGCCCTATGGCGCAGTGGTTGGCAACTAAGAGCCGACACAAGGACAGAGATGTGCGGCAGGTTGTGCACAAGTGGAAACAGTGCCCCACCTGTTTGCACGATGCCCAATAGCGCTGGCCTTTTGGGAGTGGTAGGCACGACAGATAGCGGATAAAACCCCGCTTGAGGTCACGGAGGAGGAGGATGCGGCTATCCTACTGGGGGAACTGATGAAAGTGGACAGGGCAAAACCGGAGGACCTGATGGCAGCTGAAATTGTGAGGTGTGAACACTGAGGAACGAACGCTGTAGACAGGGTACCTCTCCCCCGCTGCAGGCTTACCAGGACAGGGCGCTGGAAAATATTTGGGTGGCTCTCCTGGCAGATTGGCATCGTAGCAGGAACACAGGAGAGGCGAAGGAAGAATGGCTCTGGGCCAGATGGGGCTCGTACCCCCAGCTGCTCGCCAGAGATCCCCAGACGGGCCGCATGGTGTTCGGTCCGCTGCTTCAACATCAAAGACCCCACTCAGATACGGAGGAAGAATCCGAATAGGGAACTGATTAGTTAAGAAAAGCAACCGATATGTATATTAGTTAGGGGAGAATTAATTAGTTAGCTTGGCAATTGTACAATACTAGGGGGAGGAGACTAGAGGAGGGGGAGTGGGGCCAAAGGACGAGGGGAGGGGTAGGGAGGACAGGGAGGGGGGAGGGGGAGGAGATGGGTGAACAGAGATTACAATACAGCAGAAACATAAAAAAATACTACAAAAATACCAACAGAGAGTACAGGAACAACAAAGTCAATGCGGGGCAGAAGGCGCTGGGAAGATCGAGGATACATTGTATAGCTGAAACAGGTTTAGGGAGCAAGGTACATAGAGGCAGTAAGGGACAGGGGGTTAGCTAAGAGGAAGGTACAGTGAGTGCTGGTAAGGCAGCCCAAACAGGTCAGGACAGATAGTATGATAGCTGGACAAAGGTAGATTACGTTGGAAGTGATAACATAATAATCTGCGGAGTTTGATAGGCGGCCCGAGGAACTGCAGGGGAGGCCCCTCCCTGCCCCCGTCTCTCTGAGGGTCGCCCTGCTGCATGTCTGGGTGCTGCTAGGAAGCCTCCCGGCCAGCAGGGTGGCCCCCAGAGAAAGACCATGGTTTGGGGGGGTGGGCCCCTTTCGCAGGTCCCCCCTTGGTAGACGATCAATGCCACAAGGGCTAGGCTGTTCCTCTTTTCTGATCTGATCTCCCCCCTTCTTTGGACGTACAAACATGCTTGCCGGTGATAAGCAACCGGACCGTTGCCCGCCCAGAATAGAAGGGGCTTTGTTTTTGTTATAATAAAAAAAAAGTGTACCTCTCTCAGCCTTTTTGTTAAAAATAGATAAAGTGCAATATCTGTTCTGGTCAGTGTAATATGTATGATACGCGGTCCATTGGGCCATCTAAAGAAAAAAAAGGACAAGGTGAAGAAAAAGTGATGCAAGGTCCATATTGGGTAAGAGTCTGCTTCAACAATAAAATTGGAACGGTACAGGGAAAGAAGATCATTAGAATGGCCCCTGCACAAGGATGACAAGCACAAATCGAGAAACGGTATAAAAGGGGGGAGAGGGAGGGAATCAAAGTATGCAGCAGTCCCCTTTTACCGTGCCAAAGAAACAAGGGTCTAAGAGCAGAAGCAGACGATTTACGTCTGAATCCCACAAATGCACAGAAGTGCATAAGAGACTGACTCTGCGTTTGGGGATATCGCTAAGAAGATTCGATACGAAACACATCAAGAAAGAGTTTGCAGTTCCAACCCAAAGTTCAAACCCAGGGTTTCCACCAAGTGAATGTGACGTAACTACATTCTCGATATGCTATGCACTTCCCTCAACGTGAAACTAACTCCCAGATTAATGCTGTGCTATTTCAAGAGAACTGGTAGAGCATTTTGAACACAAACAGGCAAAAGATTGAAATGAAAGACACAGAGAGAGAGAGAGAGGGGGGGGAGGGGGGGGGGGGGGGGGGGGGGGGGGGGGAGAAACAAAGAGTCTCACAGAGAGAGAGAGAGAGAGAGTCTCAGAGAGAGAGAGAGAGAGAGAGTCTCAGAGAGAGAGAGAGAGAGAGAGAGAGAGAGAGAGAGAGAGAGAGTTGGCCTTGACCTTTGGACTATTCTGTGAGGGTTCTTAGCCTTGGAGCTTTGGTATCTTCGTTCTTCACGGGAAAAGAAAGCAGCATGGCTAGAGCAATGTAGACTCTGTATTCGAACCTGATGAGGAGTACATTCGTGAGTGTAATCACTCACCTCTGCTCTTCGGTGAAGTAGTTTGATGCTCTGATACTTGAAGTCCACGGCAACAAACTGCAGGCCTGGGAAAACTGCTGCTAGTGGCAAGACCAACGCTCCAGACCCACTTCCGAAATCCACGACAACACTGCCAGCTGGCAGGTCCAGGAGGTTGAGCAATGCTGCAATACTCTGGACTTGGCATTGCTTCCTCAAGCCTCTGGCCATTTTGTCACTTGGCCTTACTGCGCATTTTGCTACCTCCTCAGCATCGTCACCATCACTGCATAATACACCACAGGGTGTCTGCTGTTCACAGTTGCTGCCATCAAAACCACCACCATTACCCTCAGCTTCTGCACAATGATTGCCTGCAGGATGGGGATGACTGCAAGCCGCAGCTTTTTCAGCATTTCCATGACTGTCTTCTCCATCGCAACGAAGACGGCTGCAAAGTTGGTGCTCGCATATGTCGTCATCTTCCACCGAGCGCTTGAACCCGCTTCCACATATAGGACAGTTGCTGCCTTCAAACCCACAATTACCCTCAGGTTCTGCACAATGATTGCCTGCAGAACGAGGTCGACCGCATACCTCAGCTTTATCAGCATTTCCATGACTGTCTTCTCTGGCACAACAGAGACAGCTGCAAATTTGGTTCTCGCATCTGTCGTGATCTTCAGCTGAGCTCTTGAACCCGCTTCCACGTACAGGATCAATGCTGGGGGGAAGGTAATCCCAGTCAATGGCATACCTTTCTGCTGTCTTCAAGCGGCTATAGGCATGCAAGATCCAGTGCAGCCTCGACAATTTGCCACCGCCTGCACTGCAATACAGTGGTGATTTCGGGAATAACCATGCACACATGTTGGGAGAACACTCTGAGCTCTTTTTTTCTTTTTTCCCCCTTTCTTCTTCTACCACCAAGAAACTAGAGTTGGCAGGATAGTCAGGTGAAGGCATAGGTTTGACCGACAAGAATGACTTCCAGATCCTTATCTCCTCTGAAAAACAAGTGTACACCTGCTCAACAGTCTCTCTCTCTCTCTCTCTCTCTCTCTCTCTCTGAAAGGCATAGGTCTGACCAACAAGAATGACTTCCAGATCCTTACCTCCTCTGAAAAACAAGTGTGCACCTGCTCAACACTCTCTCTCTCTCTCTCTCTCTCTCTCTCTCTCTCTCTCTCTCTCTCTCTCTCTCTCTCTCTCTCTCTCTCTCTCTCTCTCTCTCTCT